ACTTTAATCAAATCACCATGGAAGCAGTTATTCTGCCCCGGTTGCATCCAGTGCAGTTACTGTGGTGCCAGTCGGGGGAGGCCGCGCACCAGCACGTGAGTTTTGTCCTGAACCTGCAGCTGCGGTGGGTGCAGGGCACGTTCCTCCTGGAACGGTCGCTTCACAGTTAACTTGCATTTTGTTAACCTTCATAATTGTTCAGGAAGAAAAATGAAAATTTAATTTTACTGTCCAGTGAGCTGGTGAAATATTAACCTCATTACCGAGGCTGATCATTGTACTAATTGGTGCTTCCCTGTACAAGAAGATGAATTGAAAAATGAATTAACCCTTTGTGAATGAGGAGGATGATTGTTCTTTTCCAAACAGACTACTGGAAATAAGGGCTTTAACGTAGCAGAAGGACCACCATGAAAAGTTTACGAAATGCTGATCTGTAATAAAAATACAGCATGAAGACTTAGGAAGAATAAAGTTAATTTTCTAGTCTATTCCATATTAAGTGTAACTGCATTGAATATTGGCTAAACATGTTCTAAAATGATGCAAATGGTTCTAAAATCTGCGGATGCAAAAATGTAGGTCTCCCTTCTAAAAAGTAATTTTAAAATGTACTGTTAACATCATTTTAAAAGTAATTTACCTTTTATAAGTTATACCTTATAAAAACAATACTTGTAGTAGATTTATTTTGATTGCCATGTTTGATTTGCCTTGTTTAGACTTTTCAAAAGGATCTGTATTAGGAGGAGAAATCTAATTTGAACTTAGTATGGTTTTGGAAGAAGAAATAGCAAAATTGTATCATGCCAGTTATACAAAAAGATTTTATCAAAACTAAAATATACTTTAGTGTTTTGCCAATCTCAGAAACAAATTTACCTGAGGGTAAATTTACCCGAAGGTAGAATATTTACCCAAAGCCACCACATTCATCTGTTAAAGAAAAATGATGAAAATATTAGCTCCTTCTTTCATTTGGAGAGATGAGTGACTTTTTAAACATTGGGGTTTTAGAACTTATATGCAAGTTGACAACATTTTTTAATGTTGTGACATAAGACTGCAAATACGGCTCTTCAGTTGATAACTAAAGCAGATTTCTCTTTAGTATCCATAATAATGAAGTTATAAAATTGATCATTAATTGCACATCTTACAACATTTTAAAAGTCAAGCCAATATGTATAATTTTTTTTATTGCGGGACAAATAAGAAGTGGAATACATTGTATTGATTACTGTGTTATTCCTGAGAACATATGAAAATTTTACAGATAAAAACCAACTTTTAAGGCAGACACATTTATACATGTAGAATTCTGTAGGTGAATGTATTTTGTTGCAATTCAGTTGTCTTTGCCATTGCTGCTTATATTTCTAAATATTACAATTGAATGAGTAGTTTCTTTCTGTATAATATATAATAACAAAACCAATTTAGTTGAGAGATGGGTCCTATTTCTCCTTAAGGTTTTAAATTGACCTGTTGATTGTGGACATATATAACATTTTTTAGGAAATAATTATTTTAAGGTAATTCCTAACTCATTTATCTTTTACAAAATAAATGTACTTCTCATTCCTAGTCACAGTGTGCTCAATATGCTGCTGATAGAAGAGAGGAGGAAAAGATGTGTGATCATCTTATCAGTGCTGCTAAACATCGAGATCATGTTACAGCCAATCAGTTAAAACAGAAGATACTCAACATCCTGACAAATAAGCATGGCGCCTGGGGAGCTGTCTCCCACAGGTAAGAGGCAAACATAAAATGCATCATTTTTAAATGTAGTTTTCAGCGTTTAAATGAAGCAGTCATTGCCTCTGTGAAATGTTACCTGTTAGAAGCTAGTATTGCTTTTTCTGTTGTTAGTCTTCCTCACTTACCATTTCCTTGAAAAAAACTCTGTACTGAAGATTCACAGATGCAAGTCTTTCGTAGACTGCAGGCATAATATTTTATCACATTTTAAATAAATTACAATAGAGTATTTGTCAGTTATAATGCAGCCTTATTGTTTGCTTATCAGTAGTTTTGGGGACTTATGTATTAGGATCTTTCTGACCTAAATGCTGTAGATGAGACTGTAAGAGAGAGGTTCCTATATAGATATTGATAGAGGAAGGCTAAGATAAAGAACAAAGAGGCAAGATGACTCGTCTAACATTATAGAGTAAGTCAGCATTAAAGTGGCAATCAAAACCAGATCAAATCAAAACTTCAATGGCTGTCTGAGCTCTCTTCTCTATGTAGCTTTTCTGTGTAAGTAATAAATTGGTAAGAGTCACTGGTAAATCTTTACTCTTACAGCAAACCAGTAAATACCAGCCACATATAATCAAGCTTACATGCTTAATTCAAAACTTATATGTGTACTTAAATGGAGCATGGTGCACAGTTGAGCATAACTAAAGTGCATGCTTAATTCTGTGGGCGTTCTTGTAAAAGAAGCTTGATTCTAAATGTATATTTCTTATTGAATGTAAGTGGTAATGTGGTAACTGAGATTTTCATCAGAGCTGTGCTGAAAACTTCTTAAAAATTTGTTCTATTCAACACAGAAATAAGATTAAACATTTTCGTATCTCATATTAAAAACAGAGCCTGTTGTTCCGTTTTACAGAAATAGCCAGTGGCAAAAGAGCTGACCCTCACATGGAAGACTCAGGCTCAAATTGCTCCTTTCCTTCACTCAGAGCAAGGTCTTGAACCTGGGTCTGCCATGTGAGTGCCCTGTCTGCCAAACTGGAGACTGCCAAGTCTTTTTCTTGTGTTTGCATTCTCAGTAATGAATACTTGATTATTTATTTAAATAGAACAGCTAAAAAGGAAAAAAAAAAAAGAAGAAAAAAGAAGAGAGAGAGAGATTAAGGAAGATCTGTTCCCAAACAAACATCTATGTTTTTGTAGTTTAATTTCCTATTCAAGTCAATGCTTCAAGTCAGGCAAGCAGAGCAGAAAGTTCTCTTTTATTTTTGAAAAAATATTTTCAGTGAAAATCTAATTGAGATACAGATAAATACAGATAAATATATCAGAAATTCTATGTGAGGGTATTTTGAATACATGTCTAGAGCTTGGGCTTATTAGAAAAGATATTGAGTAGTAAATTTGACAGATAAGTAATAATGTTTAATAAATACCATTTATACTATTCATGTTTTTTGTCATTTTCTGTAGTTGGTTCTTGCAGTTATGTAGAGTAAAAAAAAAATGTAATTTTTCACATTCATCATCCTTATATCTTCCAGAGAAATTGCTATTGCCTACCTGATGATGGAAATACATTTATTTTTAAGATGGTAGAAAGCATAGAAGAAAATCAGTCTTTATAGAAATTCTCTATAGTCTAATATCAGAGAGGTTTGGATGGAAATTACAAAAATTTGCTTTTAGAAGATTATGATATGGTTGATTCAAAGCCATCTTAGTCCGTAGTGGGCGCTCATGTCATTTCCAGTTGAGGCTTAAAGCTGTATATCTGGAACCTTGAACCTGATGAAAATTTGTTAAAGCTTCAGTTCCTTTAATGTCTTCAAAATCTTGAGCAAATTTATTGCTCAAGTTCATGACTGGTTAGAGGCACTTTGCAGATGCAGATCAGTTTTTCTCCTTGCTGTTCGTCACTCATACGTGAAGGAGAACATCTCTTCTTTGGGCCTACCAACTTTCCTATCTATTTGAAAAGTCCTAAATGGCAACAGCTGCTCCCTGCTGCGACTTATTCTTCACTTTAAGCACAGACCATAGACTGTGTTATCCACAGACCAGGAAGCAGCTTGATACATGCGGCAAACCTGTCAAATTTCTTATACTGAGCAGAACACACTTGTATTTCACTGCTACCATGGCACTGGCTGTGTGCCCCTGCCTCTCGCCTGCTCATTTCACCTCTCCCTGATAGGTGCAGCCCTTGGCCTAGTTGCTTTGTAGCTGCAGGTTGGCCCTGTCTGGCGCTTAAGCTCTGGTGGGGAAGTGGTGACAAGACAAGGTCTCCAAGGAGGGTTTTCACCCTGTGAACACAGGAGCTGAACGGGAAGCCGCTATCTTTGTGCTGCAGGCCCTACCACACGTGTCACATGCAGCTGGGTGATCCCGCACACAAATCTCATGGGATTGGCACACGTCTGGACTGCGAGTGGAAAGCGCTAGGATGGCAGCAGAGAGATAGGAGAGCATGTGCAGTAGCAGACCATATGGGCCTTTTTAAGGACCAAAAGCCCTGGTTTGCAGCAAGCAAGTTTAAAAGGTTTCACGTTCAGGAAGTCGCGAAGGGACTCGGGAAACTAATTAAGAAAAGAAGGCAAAAACTTTTGTTATTTAGATAGTTTTCAATAGCTTTTTATATGATGGAAAATAAAATGGACTCTAGAGTTTGACCCAGCTATAGAGAAAATTTTTGCTGTGTTTGGAATTCAATGCAGTGAATTTGTAAGCCTTCCCAGTTTTGGTATTGTTGTACGGTACTATTGTACTGTACTGCATGTACTGTTTTTGCAGAAAACAACAACCACCATTTACTGTGCTTAATCTGTAGGTGCCACAAAGTTCATTCTTTGTGCATTTATTGAGAAACAAAGAACTAACTCAACTGCTGGTAGCACTGTGAGTACTGAGCAGAAAGCAAGGGGCCTGATGAGTGAACTCGTACAGCCTTGACCAATTATGAACTTGGAATATATTATCATAAATGTCTGAAGATGAAGAAGAATATTGAGCAGTAGGACTCAACAAAATAGCATGTGAAACTTCTGGTGAAGTATAGCCCTGCCTGTATACTTACTAATTTGATGCTTTGAGTCTGAGAGCATATTTATTGGTTAACTTCTCTCTCTCTAAATATTATAAATAACTCTTTTGAAAATCCTTTCTCTTATTAAGATTAAAAAAATACATCTTTAGTCTGGTGTAAATCATGATTCTGCCCTTGGATTGAACGAATTTTGCTTTGCTCATTTTGGCAATGTGATACTTTTAGGTATCTTCATGATAGCCTGCCCTAAACACTTTTTTTCACTTTTTTAATTTCAGCTTTCAACCAAAATTAGATTTTTTTCTATTCAGACAAGAGATTGATGAGCTGGTTATTTCTTTGATGCATAGTGAATATGCAACATCCTATTTCCTTGAACTCAGGAGGAATCAAACAGGGTATTTCATAGCTTATTGTTCAAAGCCTCTTTAAGCCAGCACTTACCCTTAGCTTTTTTCAGGGTTATGGTCTTCGTGTCCCAACATATGCTTCCTCCTGACTTCTCTGTCAGCTTCATATGGTGCTTCTCTTCCTCCCCATCTGCTCCTCTCCACATACATATCTTTCTTATAAATAAATAGATAAATAAATAAATAAATAAAGGCTTAGTAAAACCTGCGTATGCGCGCAAATCAAATTCTTTGCCAGCCATATGTATGTCTGTGTTTTGGGTAGTATCCTATGATCGTGTTTGTTTGGAGTGTCTTGTATCAGCTGCTTGATTTAATACAATATCATTACTTTTTAAAATATGTTTATTTAGGAACACTAGTGTGTGTATGCCTTATGGCTTCCATAGGTTGAAGACAATCTGGGGCAATACAAAGGGTTCTGAGTTCCAGTTTGCATTCTAAATGTAAGCATGAAATACTTGTCGCAGTCATGTTATCAGTTCCGATATACTCAGGAGGATTACTATAATGAGAAAAATGACATTTAAAAATGAGACCTGGTCCCCTTGCTTTCAATCATTTGATGAAGGAGGTTCCACCTACACTAAAGCAGCTTTACCAATCAGCAAGTATACGAGGGCTCTTTCTGTTCAAATCCATCTTTGGTTAAACTAGACACCCATAACAAATTAATCATTCATGGTGGAGGGCAGAGCTGTCAAACTCATTCTGTGGTGAAGACCAAATTCGTCTAGGGAAACAGGCTGGAAATAAAAAGTTTCTTGCCAGACAGCTAGTCCTGCCTCTCGCGGCAGCATGTGCTTCTGCGGGGATGGGGTTCTGCCCCGCTGGGGGAAGGGGGAAAAGGCGGTTGAAAGAGGAGAACGCCTCTTCCCTGAGCCTATAGAGCCTGGCAGTTAAATAAGGTGATTCTGGGAAGACACTGCTTCTAACCCAAATGTTTCCAGTTTACAGCAAGAGGGACCAGAACACAGGAGTTTTCTAAAAAGGAGTTTCCCTGACACCCAGCTTGTGGCATGTTCTGCCTGCACCACTGTACTAGCTGCTGCCTTGGGAAGTTCAGAGAGTTCAGAGAACTGATTGTGTCCCCCACTGAAAATCAGCCCCATCTGGTTCAGCTGTTCATTCATTCTGCCTCATTTTAACTGCTAGGTATAAATTACAAAGGGAGCTTTAGAACAGTGGAAAAGATGTGGGATCAGATCCAGCCTACTGGATCCAGCAATATACTTGACATGCCTGCTTGAACGCCTGTTTAGGTTCTGCATCTTTCCGCATACTCTCCGATAGCTATGAATTTAGTCTGTTCCTAGAATTCCTGGAGAATAATTCTCTCTTTAAAATAGATCTTTCCCAGGTTAATCGTACAGAAGCTGCACCTTTTCTGCTTATCATTGGCTGTTCTGATTCCAAGTTCCAAATATTTAGTTCCAAGATGATTTTATTGTGACAAAAACATTAAGAAGATTTTTTTTCTGCCTTCTGTTGTTCATACTTAAGTACAGTACTCGAGATGACATGGTATCAGCAGATGTTGTGTCACCAAATTGATATACCCTTCTCTATCAGGTTTTAGCCATCAGTGT